TCTTTACTTCTGGTACCAAGGGTGTTGATTGAGGATCCAAACAAGATGTGATTATTGACAGTTTCAGTCTTTTCCTTGTTTATCAGGATGTTGCCAATAGGCCCAGTGGCTGTAGTCCTTGATATTCTGTAGCTAGTGCTTTACATCCTCCTCACTCTCAGGAACAAGGTTGTTTAGTATGATTTAATGAAATTTTGGAAAAGATATCCGGGGCATGTAAATAATTTGAGTGTTAGGGCACTTTGAGACATTAGCTCCTTTCCTGACTATTGTTATTACCACTTTGTATCTAATGACTGAGAAGTGAGAGCTTCTTAAAGAACAAGGCTTCATATTTTGAAAAGCAGTTTAGGAGAAGACAGAGTGATTTATTTGGAAGTGCTTTTCCCTCCCTGATTTTTAAAATTTTATATTGGTTTACATATAGTACACACACACACACACACACACACACACACATTATGTTTCGTTCAAAAACATTGTGTTCCTTCATTGACATATTGTTTCATATGATCATTCCCATACATTATATTTTATAAAGTCAATCACCATTGATCTGTACCTACCATTACCCTAACTTTTCAGATTCCCACTGAATCTTCCCTGATTCCTTTACCTACCAAACTCTGCAACTCTGTAGTTTCACTATGTCTCACTTTCAGCCCCACTGTTCACTGTCTTTCCCCCTGAGACTTTCATACACATCCTACTAGTTATCCTTTTATTTTACCATAGTAGTTTTATGCAGTCCTTATAAGACCAAGTTAGTTCACTCAGCGTAATGCTCTCCAGTCTCTCCTATGTTATGTGTTCATTTTCTAAATCATTGCTCCTGCATAGTATTTCATCATGTGAATGTATCACAATTTCTTAATTCATTCAATTGCTGATGAACATTTGGGTTGTTTCCATGTTTGTGCAATTGTTAATAATACTGCGCTGAACATCAGTGTGCACATGTCAGTTTATGTCTCAATTCTGATTCCCTTGGAGTATATTCCCAGCAGTGGAATAGCTGAGTCATATGGAATGTCTGTGTACATCTTTTTTAAAGAAATGCCAATATATTTTTCCAGAGTTATTGTACCATTTTACAAAACCAAAAACAGTGTATGAGAGTTCCTATTTCTCCACATCCTCTCTAATATTTATTGCTTGCTGCCCTGATAATCTTTGCCACTGTTATTGGAGTGAATGGTTTTTCATTGTGGTTTTGATTTGCTTCTATGATTCTCAATGGAGAAAGACTAAAGGAATTCTCCTTATGAATGAGAACCAGATGACGATGACTACTTTACCACTCTTATTCAATATTTTATTGGAAGTAAGCTATATGCCAAGAGTAGAATAAGAGGTATCCAGATCCACAAAGAGGTGGTAAAATGGTTACTGTAGGCAAATGATGTGATTGTGTGCAGAGAAAATCCCAAGTTCTCAACAAGAAAACCTGATAAACTAGAGTGGCAG